AAATGAGTTTAGAATTTAACATAGTTAATAAGGATAATATTTAGAATCAGTTGAATTTTCTTAACAAATTCGATATTTTTAACTATTTTTATTAATATGTGTGAATTAGTTAAAAATGACTTGTAATGTGAAGGAGGGGTATATATACGGGAATTTTTATTAAAAAAAGGGATAAATGATAAATTATTCATTTGTGAATTTAAATCAAAATTTAAAATTCCGGCATGCATAACTGCCTTAGGCAAATTATTATAGGATTAAAAAAGGTATATATAAATTCCAACTACATATAAATTAAAAAGCACAACTATGGTAAAGAAAATTAGAAAAGAGAAATGATTAATAGGATTATTTTTTCATCCAACCATGTAATTTATAAATAATTTCCCGGTTGCTTTTTATAAGCGACAATTTTGAAACATGACATTTTTTAAAATTATATTTTTATATTTTTATTATTTTTAATTAATTTTAATTAACATTTTGAGGTGATTGATTCATAGTAAAGACATTTTATAAAAGCAGTTTCACACAAACTTGTAACTAAATCCATTCATACATTTATCGTATGCTACAAAATTATTTTTAAATTTATTTGTAGTGTCTTTTTCCAAGTGGGGAAGAATTGAAATGGACTCTCTTTCATGAATGGATAGGTGTTGCGTGATGGGAGACCCCGTCAAAGAGTCTGAACATTAATATCAACAAAAAACCGACAAAATTTCACCTTGTAGTCACCGCCCTCAGTTTTTTTTTTGTTTTGGCCAAAACACCGCCCGCAACTGGCTTTTGACAATTTAACGATGAAGTGGAAGGGAGGGCCAGGTTGACCCCCTGGCCATTAATATTGAAATTCAATATACTCCTCCTTTTGCCTAATATTGTCATTTTCACTGATTCAACAAGATATTCCTTTTATTCTTTTTTCAAAAAATTATTACTTTAAAGCTTTTATAAATTTTTATAATACTTCTCGCTTCATAATTTTAAAATAACGATTCTTATTTTATTATATTAACTTTTTAAAGGGGTTAATTTCTTCTACTAACAAAATGATGCACCTATCGTGAAAAAACAATTAAGAAAAACTAACTCAGATGACAATAATATAAAAGTAATCAATCAGTAGCTCAAAACATTGATAATTAAACAAAATATATATCAAGATAATCTGTAAAGTAATTTAATTCTTGTGCCATATATATATAAATTAAGAGAAATTAATTTGAAATTCTGAAGCCGTGATTTTAATTGTATTTCATGCAAAATAACTTTTTAATTTTATTTTTCATATTATTATTTTTCTGAAAAAATTTGAGAGCTGATTAATTGGTGGATTGGGACTCGGGAGGCACTGCATCAAAATTCTTGACCGCCTCCACTTGGCTTCCAATTTTCCGGCAGCAACGTCATGGATAACGTAATTCACAACATCGTTTCTCCACGCGCTGATATTTTTTTTCCCCGCCAATTCCACGCGTTTCCTGTTCTCATTTCTAAAGAAGCTTCTAATTCATTACTACTTGTTTTGATTGCAGTTTTCTTCTAAAAAAGGGACAAATATTTCTGAGATTAAAGGAAAAGTTTATAATACAGATTTAGTAAAAGAGTAGAAATTTAAATTAGAAAAGGAAACTAAAGTAATAGTATTAACCAAAAACTACAATTACAGCCTTCAGCATGTTAAAATATATACTACATCCATTTTTTCAATATATGAGTTTGTTAATTAATTTGAATAGATTAAAAAAGCTTGTTAAATTCCTTATTCATAATAAATATTTATTTTCTTCTTTAGAATACCTTTACTAATAATATGTATTAGCTAAGACTACCATTTGATAAAATCTTTAACATGTGCAACTACTACAAGAACTACTTTGAAAAAAATAAATAAATATAAGAGACAAAGTAGATTAGAGTCTTATATTTAAAACTAAATTGAAAGCTAAAGTAGTTTTTATATTAAGGATCGAATATGATATCTTGTTAAACTAGTCTTTGAGGGAATAGCGGAAAGGGGCAATAAAAGAATTTTTTATGTAGATAATGTTGAGCTTGTTTGATTAAGATATGAAGTCTAAACGGTAATCCAACTCAGAGATGCTCTCAAGCAAAGAATATGTGAAATGTTTGGAGAAGATCCACAAGGAGGATATAACCACCATGATAATTATTATTGTATGGGTGTAAGAATAACTTGTGATTATAAGCTAATAAACAGGTCAAAAGGAGGCAAAATGAACTTGTGCATAATCAGAAAAAAGATTTGTTGAAATATGCAAATCTAGCAATTTTTCCCTTTAAAGTTGGAACAAAGATCAATTAGTGTAATCTGAACCTACATTTTAATATAGAGCAAACAAATAGTATTTTTTTTTGTTTTAATACAGGTCATATAATTAAACTTACTTTATGAGTATATGATTGTACCTTTAATTAATAGGAACTCAAAAGAGAATACTTTTTCCAATCCTATTTATAAAGAAAATTTAATTAATTTCATGATTCTTAAAAGATGAAAGTGTATATCTTTAAATTTGTACAAAGACAATGATGTATGATTTTCTAATTTTGCTTTTCATTGAAACTAGTGATTGTGTCTAAAATTTAAAAGGTATATCAATGACCAGATGTGATTAAAGAAGAGTATAATTTTTTAAAAAAATTTACTTAACACATCTTGATTCTATAATCATATCCTCTTATCTATAAAACGACTTTAGACAAATCAAATAAAACTTTAAACTAATTAGCTTTACTTTAGAATATAAATTTTTTTAAATTTATCTCAATTTAATATATATTTTAAGAAAATGACATTTTAAAATATAATAAAAATTTAATAATGTAACTTTTAAACAGAATAAATTTTTTCTCTCTATATAACACAAATAAGATTTTAAAGCGCATGATGTAGCATCAATGCGTACAGCGCGCGTGGGCCTTGTGAGCACAAAGTTTAGGAGCGTCACAAAGTTCGTCTCACAAACTTCTTCACCCTTCCACTTGTGCTTACCCATGACCACCGTCCACATAACCTTTATTTTGACCTTACCTTTAAATATTTTTTTTCCAAAAAAAAAAAAATTAAGGAAGTGATTAGGCCATTTTTAGTTCCTAATTTGGAATTTACAAATTTGAGGAATTTTTATGTGTTTCATCCAAAAAATATATTTATGTATTTTATTTTCTCTTTAACCACACTGTAAGAATGGATGGGACAGGATAAAAATATTTATAAAGAGAATAGATATGAGAAGAGAAGGAAAACTTTATTAAAATTATAAAAAAGATTGCTCCCCCTTTCTATTTTTTAAAATCCAACTTATTAAAATTTCCCCCCACTTCTGACCAAACGAACTCTAAATATAAGACAGCTTCTAGAACCAAAACATAGGGCAACATGAACTGTTTGGATTCTTTTTCTCTCATTTATTGCTGGTTTAATTCCAGACATTATTCATTTATTGCATTGAATGGCAAAATTGTGAATTTATTTTTCAAAAAGAAAGATAAAGAATACAAACACAAAATTTATAATGCATTAAATTTACTTTCTTCGTTAGGATTTTTCTCTTTTATCTCGTGATTCTTGAGGTAAAGTAGCATCCAATATCTTGATGCTACTTTTCAGTAGTATTCGACATACTAATTTTGTTTACAGCTTCAAATTTTCTTATAATTTTAAGTACTGAATGTATTATAAATAAGATTACAATATTAAAAGTACTAAAAAAATAATATTAAAATACTAAATGCACTATCATTAAGATTCGAATCTTCGATGCAATTCAGAAATAACATCAAAGTATGGTAAATACTAATTTATCCTTATTATTAAATTTTTCTCCTAACTTTTTTCACAAAAAAAGTTTTGTTCAATAAACTATTTAATCAAAATGTTTCTATCAAATTGTCATTTATTTGTTAATTGCAAGGAAAAATATCCAGGAAAAATGACAAATAAAGAAGCTTGAAAATGTAATATGCCAATTTAGAAAGCTAAGGAAATGTAATGACAGAGAGGAAAGTACTTTTTAAATTGGAATTTTGAAATTCAATGAAATGACAAAAATGTCTTTTGTCTTTAAAAAAAAAACCTCAGCCCCTCACCGGTAGCCGGCGGCCGACAACCACTGCCGGCAACTATTGGCCCAAATGGTCAAGGAGTTGTGGCTACTGGCCGCCGGCCACCACTGAGGAATTAAGATTTTAAAAAAAGAAAAGACAAAAGGTATTTTTTTTATTTCACTTAATTTCAAAATTTCAATTTGGGATGGACTTCTCTCTCTGTCATTATATTTTTTTTGGCTTTTTAAATTAGCATTTCATATTTTCAAACTTGTTTATGTGTCATTTTCCCAAATATCTAATTTAGGAGACAATAGAGACTAATGATTTATTCAACTAGGAAAAAGTATAAGGTAGAGCCGTGGAGTACAGACCATAGACACCAGAACTACAGAAATACTCCTCCGGTCCTTATTATAAGACCCAATTTGACTTTTTATTTAGTCCTAATTATAAGACCCAATCCATTTTGTTTCTTATATTTATGCATTTTTCTCCAAGATAATCCTTCTAATAATGATAGTTTAGCCAATATACTTAATTAGCAAGGATATTTTAAGAATGACAACACTTATTTATTATAAATAACCAACTTAACTTACTTCCTTAATCTCCTCAAATAAATCAATTGGGTCTTATAATTAGGACCGGAGGAGTATCAGATTATCAGCTGCGTGGTTGCTGAAGCATTTGAGTGTTTGCTTTGACCTTTGAATATTTTGACTTTCTATTTCATATTCCATGGTCCACCTTCATTAATTAACACTCGCCCCCTACCTTCTTCAAAGGTCATCATCTTCTTCTTCAAAAGCTATTTAACGATCCTCTTATCTCTGATTCCTCACAACTCACAAGCACTCACAGAATCACCATTCACGATTCACAAATCATTTAGTCCATACGCACATCGGTCCATTTCTGCTTTGATGAGTTGCAGCTCCGGCGACAACAATGGAAGCAGCTTCACAAGCAGGGAGAGTGCCGTCAAGTACAAGGGAGTCCGGCGAAGGAAGTGGGGCAAGTGGGTGTCGGAGATTCGAGTTCCGGGGTCACAAGAGCGGCTGTGGTTGGGCACGTATACTTCGCCGGAGGCGGCAGCGGTGGCTCACGACGTGGCTTTCTACTGCCTGAAGAGACCGGCGTCGTTGGAGAAGCTTAACCTACCGGAGATGTTGCCTTCTTGTTATGTCCAGCAGCAACGAGAAATGTCGCCGAGGTCGGTGCAGGCTGCGGCGTCAAATGCCGGCATGGCAGTTGATGCGCAGAGGATTGTGGAAGCAGAAGAGAGGAACGAGAAAACTGATGAGCACAGAGAAAACAGAGACATGAATGATGGGTTTTGGTGGGACTGGAATGGTGACGGGGGCGGCGGCAGTGGCGGTGCTGACGGCCATTTAGGGCAAGGAATCGCCGGCGGTTATTCTCAAGGAGAAACATCGAGCATTTCCGTTGATGATTATCTTCTCGATCTTCAACATTCTTAGAAATTCGGATTCACACATAACAGAGCAATCAGATTCTCAGAAATTTGCTTCCTTCAGAGAAGCAGAAAACACGAATTTATTGCCCTACGCCAATCTGTTTTATCTTTCTCCAATTTTGTTGTATAAATCATAAATGTATTTCAAAAGGGGAAAGGACGAGGATTGAATTATTATAGTCTTTTGTCTTTGCTTCTTTAACTAACTTGTACAGTACACCGGTTATATATATATATATATATATATATATATATATATAGACACACACACTACCTCCTGCTAGGGGTGTTCAACCCCGTTCCGGTCCCAGTCCTATTGGGATGGGACAGGACGGGACACAGGACGGGGTCGTCCCATCCCGGTTCCTTTCTTTTTTATTTTAATTTTTTAATTTTTTATCCTATTTATACAATATCATTTTTTTATTTTTTTTTTAAGATTTGAGACTATTGTATAGAATTAGATATATTTATTTAGAATTTTTATATTTGTTAATGATCTGAGATTATTGATGATTAGAATTTTTAGAAATCTAATTTTATTTAAAGTTTAAGCCCAAAAAAATATAATTAAAAAAATCTGATTTTATTTAAAAAAATTTTAAAAATTAAAAAACTTAAAAAAATAAAAAAAAAAATTTCTGGACGTCCCGGATCCGTCCCGTCCCGTCCCGACCAGGACTGGGACAACCCCGGGATGGGCCAGGACACAGGACAAATTTTTTGTCCCGTTACTGTTTATCGGGACGGAACCGAGACGGGCATGTCCCGATCCCGATCCGTCCCGTGAATAGCCCTACCTCCTACGCTTAATATGTTTAATATAGTACTAGTTGAATAGTTGAATAATCTAAGAAAATTCAAAAAGTTATGTAATTACTTAATTATAACAAATTTTATATGATCTTTCTAAAATTAGAAGTGTTCATAGGATGTCTATGTCCCAATTCTGTCTCGATAAGTGAGACAGGATGACTTTTTCATTCTGTATCACGTCTTGTTTCATCTTTTTTTTTTAATTTCTTTTTATTTTTTGAAATTAAAAACTAGTTATAGACGAAGTACAAAAACTTATGATACAAATTATATAAAAAGAATAAATAAAAATAAGAAAATAATGGCAAAGAAAGCTTTTTTTTAAATAATCTTCAAAGACAAAAAATAAACAAACTTAAAATCTTCATGGCAAAAAATATCATGTAACATATACAAAACAACTTATAAACAAATACAAAAGTAACAATTGATAAATATCATTACCAAAATACTATTACAATGATAAATAAAATAAATTTATAACAATTAAAAATAAAGATAATATAATATTTTAAAGTAATTTATTTATTTATTTTTAATCTCCTCAAATTAGTTCATTGCAGCCTATATTAAGGATTGGAGGTAGTATTTGGATGCAAGCAATAAACCTCATATCTTAGAAGGGAAAGATGTGTTTTGCTTAAATACATATAAAAGGCTTGAAGGCTTAGAAAACAACATGACAGAGAGAGTGTGCGTGTTGACTATGATAAGAGAAAGATGGATCGGCTTGGAAATGGAAATTTATAGAGAGAAAATATAACATTTGGTGAGACCAAAAAGAATAAAATTAATGGATGTTTATGAAGGTTGAAGAATTTTGTTATTTTTTTCCTTTTACAAAGTTAATGTATATTTTTACACCCAAGTAAATTTCATGGTGCTTAATGCCCTTTGATGCAAACTTTGTTGTTAAAAATGCACCTTAAAACTGACTTTCTGGGCCCCTCTAACGGTAAACTGACGGACCTTAACGGTATGGTGCCAGATGCTCCCTTTTGACAACTTCATGTATATTTTTGCACTCGAATAAACTTTATGGTGCCCAATGCTCTTTCAGGTAAACTCTGTTGTTAAAATTGCACCTTAACCCATTACTTAATGATAACAAATTTTATATGATCTTTCTAAAATTAGAGGTGTTCATAGGATGTCTATGTCCTAGTTATGTCATGATAAATAAGACAGGATGACTTTTTCATTCTGTGTCACGTCTTGTTTCATCTTTTTTTTTAATTTCTTTTTATTTTTTAAAATTAAAAACTAGTTATAGACGAAGTAAAAAAACTTACGGTAAAAAGAATAAATAAAAATAAGGAAATAATGGCCAAGAAAGCTTCTTTTTTTTTTTTTAATAATCTTCAAAGACAAAAAATAAACAAACTTAAAATCTTCACAGCAAAAAATATCATGTAACATATATAAAACAACTTATAAACAAATAGAAAAGTAACAATTGATAAATATCATTACCAAAATACTATTACAATGATAAATAAAATAAATTTATAACAATTAAAAATAAAGATAATATATTGAAACGAGACCAGAACGGGATGTGGTCTCGAAATAATTTTGTCCCCTCCCTCTTTATCCTGCTCTGAAAACTTTCCTATCCCAAAATGATTGGGACAAGGACAAGTTGTTGGGATGAGACACAATCAAACACCCCCTATTTAAAATATTTATAGGTATTATTAGATTATATATCAATGCATAAATGAGGCAAATTAGTTTTAAAAAAATAATAAATATAAATACTTTAGAGCAATTTAGTATCTTCTTTGATCTCTTCAAATTAATCAATTAGATCTTATATTAAAGATAGGAAATAGTAGAAACTAACTGATTTATAGATGTTGAGGTAATTAATTAATACTACCTTTGGTCCATAATACAAGGGATAATCCTACAAAAAGAAGCTTAGAATTGTTAAAGCCGAAATCAACTTTCCTAACAACACTTTAATAGGTTTTGACTAGATTAAATTTGCAAGTAACAACATATTTTAATAGGAAATTTTTGTTGGAGATTTAGTAATTTCAAGATTCTTTTTTGTAGAATTCTCCTTTAATATAAGCGCTAGATAATTAATTTGTAAATATTAAAAAATTAGTTATTTTTAATAAATAGATATTTTTTTTCCTAAAATATGCTTAATAATCATGTGCATTTGAGTTATTGATAATAACTCCCCCAATATGTAGAATCATCATAAGGATTACTTGAAAGTTGAGAGTAAAATAGATAAATATATGAAACAAAATGAATGGGGTTTTATATTTGGACCAAATTGAATGTTCAATTAACTTTTATATTAAAGACCAGAAATTATATATTAGTTATTTAGAATAAATATGTTTTGGTTTTTTTTAATCATTACTTCCATGATTCCTATTATCTATGCAATTAACATGGATAACTCGGCTAAAAATTAAAAACTGTAAACTTTGAATTGGCCCTGATATTGCTAGCATAAAACCCTAACCAAGTTAAAATTTTAGCAATGGATAAATTATACAAATTTTAAATTGATATTCTCTCTTGTCCCTATTATAAACTTCCAACTAATAAGCATTCTGAGTCCTTTTTATAAGGTATCAACTTAGTTTTAATGAGTATTAAATATCTTTTGCTACGTATGTCCATGAGAAAAGTCAGAGAATAAAATGAGTTTAGAATATAACATGGTTAATAAGGATAATATTGAGAATCAGTTGAATTTTCTTAATAAATTCAATACTTTTAATTATTTTTATTAATACGTGTGAATTAGTTAAAAATGACTTGTAATGTGAAGCAGGGGTGTATATATATAGGGGAATTTTAATAAAAAAGGGATAAATGTTAAATTATTCATTTGTGAATTTAAATCAAAATTTAAAATTCCGGCATGCATAACTGTCTGAGGCAAATTATTATAAGATGAAAAAAGGTATATATAAATTCCAACTACATATAAATTAAAAAGCACAACTATGGTAAAGAAAATTAGAAAAGAGAAATGATTAATAGGATTATTAATTAACATTTTGGAGTGTTTGATTTATAGTAAAAACACTTTTTAAAAGTAGTTTCACACAAATTGGAACTAAACCCATTCATATATTTATAGTATGGTATAAAATTATTTTTAAATTTGTTTGTAATGTCTTTTTCCAAGTGGGGGGGAACTGAAATGGATTCTCTTTCATGGACGGATGGGTGACGGGGAGACCCCTTCAAAGAGTCTGGACATTAATATCAACAAAAAAACCGACAAAATTCCACTTTGACAATTTAATGATGAATTGAAACAGAGGGCCAAGTTGAAGCCTTGGTCATTTTCTCAGTCAAGTTTCTTCCCCAGTACCACACGTGTTGAAATTCAAGATACTCCTTCTTTTATCTAATACTACCTCTAATCCTAAATATAAAAGTTAATTAACTAATTTGAGTAAATTAAGAAAATAAGTTAAGTTAGTTAGTTATAATGAATAGGTGTTGTCTTTCCTAACATATTTTTACTAATCAAGTTTATTGGTTAGAATTACTATTACTATAAGGATTACTTTGAAAAAAAATAGATAAACAATAGAGATAAAATATATTTGGATATTATATTTATGATCAAAATAAAAGTCAAACAAGGTCTTATGTTAAGGACAGAAACTAAGTATTGTCATTTACACTGATTCAACAAGATATTCCTTTTATTCTTTTTCAAAAAATTATTACTTTGAAGCTTTTATAAATTTTTAGAATACTTCTTACTTCCTCATTTTAAAATAGCGATTATTATTTTATTATATTAACTTTTTAAAGGGATTAATTTCTTCTACTAACAAAATGATGCACCTATCTTGAAAAAACAATTAACAAAAACTAACCCAGATGACAATAATATAAAAGTAATCAATCAGTAGCTCAAAACATTGATAATTAAACAAAATATGTATCAAGATAATTTGTAAAGTAATTCAATTCTTGTGCCATATAATAAATTAAGAGAAATTAATTTGAAATTCTGAAGCCGTGATTTTAATTTTATTTCATGCAAAATAACTTTTCAATTTTGTTTTTCATATTATTATTTTTCCGAAAAAATTTGAGAGCTGATTAATTGGTGAGTTGGGATTTGGCAGGCACTGCCTAAAAATTCTTAACCGCCTCTACTTGGCTTCCAATTTTCCAGTAGCAACGTCATGGATAACGTAG